CTCTTTCCTTCCACTCGAATTTTAGTGGTTTGTGCACTCTGTGCTATGTGTGGCGGAGGTAGTCCTTCGGTTTGATAGATCATTTCAATTGATGGTTATTTCGGTTGGTGATTATTCCGAAGAGGTGTGCATTCTCTCATCCCCTCTCTCTTTTCTTCTTCGGCTCGGTCTGGCGGTTGTTCCCTCGTCTTCCTATCTTCTCTGTTCTTCACATCTTCTCTCTTCTCTGTGTGATTTTGCACTGGTTGGTTTCATCTTTTAGCTCGATTTGGGTGGTTTTTTGTTTGCTCATTTTTTGTGGTTTTCAATTTGATATGTTTGGTTATGTGGTTTTGATGTTTCAAGTTGCATCTAAACAGGCTTTGGTTTATGTCTTCGATGCAATGTTGCTTGGATTGGTGCTTTGCAGTGATCTTTGGCTTTATGGGGCTTTACCTTGTTAGCAATGTTTCGGATCCCCTGTATGTGGTTTGTTCGATTTATTTTAGTGCTTATGTTGTGGGGAATTTGGATATTTTTATGAACTTTTAATATTTCAGTGAGGAATTTGAAAATTGGATGGAATTTGGTGTTGGATTTGTTAATAGCAATATTTTAAGAACTTTGTATGTGCTGAGTATGGGATGGGGAAATGAATTTTGAATTTCATGTTGGATTTGTACGTTGCTATTTACAATTTCACTGGAATTTTAGTGGGAAAACTAGTGTGTGGTATGGAGGTTGTGATGTGGTGTGATTTATGATGTCGTTTGTGGATGTGTTGGTATTTGGTTTGGAGATTGTGATGTGGTGTGTGAATGTGTTGGTGTGGATGAATTGGTGTGGATGAATTGGTGTGGATGTGTTGGGTGGTAGTGTGGTGTGGAGGCGGTGTTGTGTGGATGTGTTGGTGTGGTGTGGAGGTGGTGGTTTAGGTATAGGAGAGTTGTGTGGTGTGGAGGTGGTCGTGTGTAGTGATTGTGTGATAAGAAGATGGTGGTGTGGTTTGTGGATGTGTTGGTGTGTGGTTTGGAGTTTGTGGTGTGGTGTGTGGATGTGTTGGTGCGGTAGTGTTGGGTGGTTGTGTAGTGTGGAGAAGATGGTGTGTGGATGTGGTGTTGTGGTGTAGTGTGGAGGTGGTGTGTCATGGAGGTGTGGGTGTGTCTCGTGTGTGTGGAGGTGGTGGTGTGTCGCGTGTGTGTGGAGGTGGTGGTGTGGTTTGTGGATGTGTTGGTGTGTGGTTTGGAGTTTGTGGTGTGGTGTCTGATGTGTTGGTTTTGTGGTGTTGGGTAGTTGTGTGGTGTGGAGGTGGTGGAGTTTGGATGTGTTAGTGTGTTGTGAAGGTGGTGGTGTAGGAGAGTTGTGTGGATGTGTTGGTGTGGTTTGTGAAGGTGGTGGTGTGTGGTTCGGAGTTTGTGGTGTGGTGTCTGGATGTGTTGGTGTGGATGTGTTGGGTTGTGGTTTGGAGTTTGTGGTGTGGTGTGGGGTGTGGTGTGTGGATGTGTTGGTGTGGTGGTGTTGGGTGTTGGTGCGTGGATGTGGATATGGATGCGTTGGTGTGTGAATGTGGATGTGTTGGTGTGTGGATAATGTGGATGTGGAGGTCGTGGCGATGATATTGAGGCATTACGATTTTTCTTTATTTTACGATATTGTGGCATTCTTATTTATGTTAATTTTTTTTCATCCTAGTAATACAATGGTTACGACCAAAGAGACTGGTTCATCTGTAATGTGGGACAAAGAAACCAAAATAATATTTTGTGACTTTCGCTTCAAGGACATCTATCTTGGAAATAGGCATACAGATTATTTCAACAAGAAAGGGTGACAAAATATTATAAAAAATTGCAAAAGAAGTACAAGCAGAGAATATGATATGATGCAATTAAAAAATAAGCTTAAGAGGATTGAAAAATCTGAATGGAATTGAAACGAGAGTCAACGGGCTTGAGGTGGATCCGATGAAACGAACGATTGATGCTTTCGAGGAGTGGTGGACAAAAAGACTTACGGTAGACATTTTTGTCCCCTAATTTGGTCAATTTTTATTTTGTTTTTAAATTGAACTAGATTTTATATGAATTTGCAAGTTATGTCTGCTGCAAAAAAATTAAATTCAGTAGAATCGATCTTGAGTTTGAGAAATTGGATCGTACATTTGGGGGTGTCATGACAACGGGCAAAAATGCATGTGCCCCCCGTGAGACAAGGTTTAGTGGTACCTCCAAAAATTTGAGAACTGACTAATCAGGTGATTCCATCCAAGGCCTCAGCCGAACGGACCTCCATGAACTTGAGTCCACGAGTCGTTCTAAGCCTCTACGGGTTGAGAATAAAAAAAAATGAGAGATGCTTTCTTTAGAAGTCAGATATCACAGTCAGTGGCTTCATGCAATAATGATCCCGACACATCTCAAGCAGCTTTTGTAGACTAGGTTCTACAAATTTTGAATGCAATACCGAAAATTTTTGAAGACTTGTCGTTGTACTTGTTTTCAATGGAGTTATTTTAAGATTCGACCCGAAGAGATTTTTTCATCAAGATGTTCGATGGTCGTAAGGCGGCATCATACCTACAATATTTTTATGAGCGCAAAAACATTTGAGAGACTTGTTTATTTACAATCGTAAGGAATATTTATAGTTGTTTATTATTTTTCATTTTGCTTTGGATATTTCAAATGTTTGGGAAATGTCTTATATATTTATTCATTGATGTTGATATGTTTATTTTGTTGTTCGTAACCTAATAAAATTGTAGTTAATTCATTGATGTTTCTGTGTTAGTCAGTACGATACCGATCTACATGGATACAACTAGGGAAAGGTGCAGCAGAAGAGTTGCAGTTGTCGTATGCTTAATGTACGAATATTATAACCCGTACATAAAGCTCTCCCCTTGCATGGCATCCTCATATGCTAGGGACAAATGGGTTAGGGAGTTGTTTGCGAGCCACCCAACGAGATTTAGCAATATGTTTTGCATGAAGCAGGTGATACTCAACGATCTGTTTGAGGAACTAAAAATAAATATTGGACTTCATGGCTCTTTCAAGACGACTTCGCGAGAGGTGTTAGCAATAACTCTCTACAGATTATCGCATAATGAATTAAAACGATGAGCAATAAAGCGATTTCAACATTCAACTGAAACAATTTGCAAATACTTCTCAGCATGATTGAAAGCACTTGTAAGTTTTCTCTTCACAAGTCATAAAATCAACAGTTCCTATGTTCGAATGGATCTCCACAGAGATTTCACATGATGCGCGGCATATGTCATTCTTTAAGGTAATTTCTCCAATTTTTTACATTAAATTTTCAAATAAATATCGTTATTCGTTATCTTTCTAGAATTGTATCGGAGTAATCGATGGAACACACGTTGATGCACATATTCCAAATAACGAGAAATTCATTCATAGTCTATTGTGGGTCCCCGACACAGAATTTCGTGGCAGTATGCGACTTCAACATGTACTCCACCTTTATCATGGTCGGTTTGGAGGGTAATGCACATGGAAGTTAAATTTTCAAAGCCGCAACACGGAATAACAAATACAATTTCTCACATCCACCTATAGATACGCTTGAGATCAAGCTACCCTCCTAATTCATTTTTCCCACAATACTAATCATGCAATTCATATCAAGTAAATATAATTTAGTTGATGTTGTATATTCATTGTAATGAGGGTATCTCAAACCCAATTCTGATACGGGACACCACATACCCAACTTTGAGTGAGCCAACAATGTAACGCATGAAAGAAAAAAATGTTCAATAAAAACCATTCCTCCATATGTGATATCATTGAGAGAATTTTTAGTGTTTAGAAGACGAAATGGGTTATATTTTGTGATATATTATCTTACGTGTTTCCCAAACAGATACAAATTGTGATTGTCACAATGACTCTCCATAATTACATTCGGCGACATCCTTCCCGCAATGACATCGATTTCTGTAGGATAGACGAGGATCATTATCATGTCTTTGCCGAGGAATTTGAGTATTGTCTAAGACATTATTTGTCACATCATGAGAATGATGCTCCCGAGACTTGTACTAAAAATAGGGAAGGTGTCAACGAGATGATAGTGTTGAGGGAACTAATTACATGTGCGATAGTAGAAGGGTGATTTGAGTATTCATAACATTATTAATTATAATGATTGTTAAAGAGATTCACTGTTTGTTATATTTGTATTTTATACAGTTAATGTTTATTTCTCTTCCTTCTTTATTTGATATTGATTGTTTGTGTTTTTACGCTGTTTACAAGTTTTTTTTTTTTTCATTTTGCATTTCTTTTGTTTTTCTTATGATAGGTTTGAGAGGTCAATGATGAGACTCTTGACTTTGTCGGTTCTTTTGCATTGCTTGTTAGTCGTTGTTGGTTTGTATCACATGTGAAATCTTAATAAAGACAATCATGTTCCTCTCTTCTTTTCGGTGATGCGGTTTTGAGGTTCATCTGGATTATCTTTTTTGGTGATAAACATACGTGGGTTTGGTATTACCTGGGTTAAAGGCAACCAAGAACCACTTTTTTATAAGATATATTGTCTTTTTGTAGTGATAAATTCGTGAGTTGGTATACTGAGTTCTTTGAGACATCACACCTACATAAAAATGTAATTAATTACTTCTTTTATGAATTTCTACTTGTGTTATGTCTAATGGGATGTTTTTTAAAGCATTCAAAACAGATGAGCTCGAGAATTTTTGGTACCTCCCAAGGATTGAAGTGTCACTGTGGACTTCAATGTTCCCTGCTAACTTCATGTCAGCCATATAGAAACAGGAGACAGTTCTACAAGTGCTCGCAGAGAATTTGAAGAATTGTAACTATCATTGGTGGGCAAATACGCTGGAAGATTTCACCGCCGAGAGTGATCGGGTGTAGAGAGTATCTCTGTATAACGACTTAGCTAATGATATACGCCGTCTGCATTTTAAAAATAATATTATCATATTATTAAATGTTATTTTAATAATTTTTTTATTAATTCTTGTAATCATGATACTAACTGTTAGGTGATGTGTATATCTTTTTCTTTGTGTTTTGTTTCATAGTGGATTTTTGTTTTTAAAGTATAAAATATATTTGTATGACAGTTCTGTTGCAAACAACATTACAATACAGGAGCAGAATTGTCATTTGTCCAAAAATAATTACAACATAATTATTTTCAAAATGCAAAAAACAAACAGACAGTCAGTTTAACAATGACTTCTGCGCAGCAGCTTCCTGTGGCAGCTATTGCACAACAACTTATTAATAAATCGCAGCTGGCCCAAACAGACCCTAATTTTCAACAAAGATATAACTAAAATTCAGCAATGTCCACTCAACCTACATTTTATCCCCATAATTCTAAAAATTTAAACTCATTTTTCTTAGACTTCTTAGTGAGCCCACTTGAGACACTTTGAAAATATAAGGGTGAAGTGTAATGTGTGTAAAATTTATACTTCTACTGTGAAGCTTATTACAATTACATTACAATTAAGCTAGAGCATGATTAGAGTTTTTGGAAGAATATTCATGCGTTGAAATGTTCTAGAAAACCCACCAAAAATGTATTGTTTTCAATGTCACCTAAATTAAGTGGCGCCTTGATTTCCTCGTCCAAGTTTCCATGCTCCTCTCATGTTTCCTCATCTCCATTCCTCTCCATACATTCCCATTCTCTGTGATTTCTCCAACAATACCCAATATTCTTCGTCAATTTGCCTTCAGTCAACGTAGAACCAATCTATTACTTCAACAAACTGTAAGCAGCCAGAATGCACTTCAGGAAACACATTGCTTCAAAAAACGTCGAGCAACTAACTAATCTCTCAATTTGAGAAGTATGTCAAAATGAATCCCCTCTCCCCTCCACCTTTTTCTACATTCTTCGAATAATAGGCCATTACAATACATTACAAGCCAGAATCGAGGCAATTAAAGCTGGTTAAGTATGAATAATGGAAATCTTCATTTTTAATTAAAAAATGAATGAATGATGAAAGAAAATGCTACTTATATGACTCTTGAGTTGTTTATAAAGTACATGTCTAACCTTTTGTTATCTATTCAATCAAGGCATGGAACAGATCAAACCTGTGGTTTATTTCAGTGCCATTAACTACATATTTGTCGTGTGATTATGCTCTTCTTCAAAAATTATGCACATTTTGCAAAAGGCCAAGCTCTAAACTCTATCTACTATCTGTTCCTTCGATTGTTCTTCAGCTGCTTTTAAATTCTAAGAAAATGTAAATACTTCACGATAAATCAACTAGAAGGGAGTAATCTTAACAAAAGTTTAAATCTACGTATCATTGCAAATCAAACAATTACAGTCAAAATAACACTGGCATCCATTAAATAATTATGAACTAGGCAAACAATGCATGTCACATAACATTAACATCATAAAACATTGAAATCTAAAATGAACCCTCAAACAAACAGATCCTTTGTTAAAAATTAAAAAGGAAGAACTCAGAAAAAACATTAGCAGGTAGAAAACAATTTTTTCTCAAGAACTTTGCGTACACTAAATACAAATTCTGCAGCAATATAAAAGCGAGAGAAAACGGGAATCAATACCTCAAGTCATCCTAGTACATCCCACGAGCGCTCTTAAGGATCGAACCAAGCGTGCCTAAGACTGCAAAAGCCAGAAGCGGGCTGACGTCCAACGTGTCGAAAATAGGTGGTATTATGTTGCGGAAGAGGTTGAGATAGGGATCACAGAGATCCCTAATTGCAGAAAGAGGCTGCCGATCCCACGGGATATTGGGAAACCAACTAAGCAAGACCCGCACCATAAGGACGCCGCTGTATATGTCAAGCCATTTGCTCATTCCCGAGGCCACCACCGTCAGCGGCGTGTTCAAATACCCACTTGGCCGGTCCCGGAGGGCGGCGAAGAAGAGCGGACCAACGCCGCAAGCGAGAGAACCCCGCAGAGATTGAATCTCAGAAAGCTCAGTCGGAGTAGGGGCTGTTGCCGCCACGGACGCCGCAGCTGCAGCGAAAAGGCGGTGGACGACGGATAGGGCGAGGGAGATGAGGGACGAGAGGGTGCGGGTGGAGTCTGAAATGAGGTGGGGCAGAGGCAGCGGAGGTGTGGCGACGGAGGAGCAACGGAGTGCTAGGGTTTGTGACGACCGGCGATGATAGCGCATGGCGGGGGATTTGTGAGAAGGGGAAATGGGAAGGAGGATAGAGTGACTGGGCCTAGCGTTAGCGTTTGGGATGAAGAGGGAAGGATTTGGGATGGAGGCGGTCGTGGATGAGACGAAGCACGCGATGGCCATGGCTGTGCGAAGGGAAGGGGATGGTAAAATTTCGAGGAACGGGAGAGTTATGGGGTCACTTCTATAATTATTATCCTTAGTATTATGATGATTAAAATAATAAATAGAGTTGGAAGGCATCACCCGTCACAAAATAGCTTCTTTTCAAATGCTATTGGTTGATATAGTTAGTAATTTCAAGACCAAATTTTTTTTGTGCAGATTCATGATGTAGCTATGCATGTCTCGGAGGTTATTTTTGAATTATTTTTATATTATTTTTAAGTTATTTTCACTAATCTGAAATAAGCGGGTTATTTTGAGATTAATGAAAATAACCCAATGAAAATAACCCAAAAATAACTTAAAAATAACTCTGGAATAACATCTGTCGCACGTAGAGGTATGTTAAGAGTCCGGACAGAAAATGCGCTCAATTTCAAGAACTAATGTCAGCATTTTGGTGCCCAATATTTATTTCTTCTAAATTTTTTTCTTTAAATTTACAAATATATATATTATCAAATTTCTAAATGAATTTTAATTATAAATAATTAAATTTATTAAAAAAAATTAAATTTGTGGTTATGACATAAATTATTTATATGTGTATGTATGTATATGTATAAATTCTTAATTTCCAAAATCCTTGAAATATAAAAAAATTTAATATTTCAAATATATAAAGTCTTAGCACAATCTTAATTATTGTGTGCATAATTTAATATTGCACTTGTAAAATATAAATATCTAAAGCACAAAAACTAGAGTATGTGATTAAGGAACCTTCTGTGCTTACTCCTTCTATCTTCACATTTCTGATCACTAATTTCTTCTATCTAACTAATGAATAATCCTTAGTTATACTCCTACCTATGTGCATCTCCATTTCATTAAAATTCCTGCTCATGATGAAGTTTTGATTGTGGTGGTCCAAGAATTTTATCAAATTCATCTGAGTCATACCAACGAAAGGGCACTTGATAGATTTTGAATCGTTTATTCTTGGTCCCTGCATAAACATGAACATATGCATAACACTAAAATATTTTCAGATTAGATAGATTTATCTCTTTATCACTCTAGACTTCTTAAGATAGGTCTCTATTCAAATGTACAGACGGACCACTTTTGATCAGATAAACATAAGTGTTCAATGTTCTACCTATAATTGCATTGGCAAGCCTGCATGCAACCTCATACTCCTAGCATGCTCTTTGATGGTTTTATTCATGCTCTCAACCACAATGTTCTGTTGTAGTGTCCTTAGGACACTAAACTTATGCCAGATCCCTTATGTAGCATAAAAATTTCTAAACCTCTGATCATGATACTCACCCCCATTACATGATATGAGATACTTCAACGTCCAGCATATCTCATTTTCTATCATAGTCTTCCACTTCTTAAACACTCTAAATACATCAAATATATGCTTTAAACAAATAAACTCATACATTTTTGTTGTGAGGATTAATGAAAGTGACAAAGTAGTGAGAATATATAATGGACTAAATCTGATTAAGACCCACATGTTAATATGCACTAACTCCAATTTATTTGACTTCACCATTGCCTCATCTTTGGAGAAAGAAACTTTCTTTTGCATGTTATATACACAATATTCACAGAACTCTGTATTCCCATATTTCAAATCCTGAAGCTTGTTAATTATAAGTAGGGAATTTTTACATTTCTTGTTCAAATTGCCAAGCCGGCGATGCCAAAGACCTGCATCAACCTTGGTTCCAGCCACATTACTGGATTCTACCATCTTATTGATTCAATAAAGAGTATCTTCAATGTATCCATGAATCACATATGAAATAAGCCACGTATCCTGATATTGCTAGTTGGCTCACTGAGCTTAGATTTCTCTTCAGACTTGAAGCATGCCTTACTTCACCAAGTTTCCAAACTGTTTCATTAGGCAACTTGATTTCAACATCGCAACTTCCTACGATATTGTAGACCTTGTCATCTCCCAAATAAATCTTTTCTAGTTCATTCTAAATATAATTTTTAAACATCTCTTTGTTGGGACATGCATGAAAAGATACATCTGAACCCATCATCCAATACTCATTATTGACTATAGATAAAACCAGAGAGTCGTTTAGAATTTTTCCATAGAGATATTTATAGAGACACTCCTGCCTTGTTCTACACAACTAGTATTCTTTGGAGCTTTGCAGTTATTTTTGAAAGAGGATATCTTCCTGTAGTTCCAACATTCATTTCTGTCATTTTCATTACCCGACCTTGATTTTTCTTGTTTGGACTTGAAACTGTCTCTGCTTGTTTGTCTAGTTCCCTAATTATCAACATTCAACGTAGAACAAGAAGATTCATCATTTGATGTTTTTCTACAAACTTCTTCATTTATCACGAACCCCACAATGTCATTGAAGTTCAACGTCAAAATAACTAAAACATTACTCACCGTCATGACCAATCCATTCTAATTGTCCAACAATGAGGACAAAATTAACAATGCCCTGACTTTATCATTAAATTTGATAATCACAAAACACAACTGGTTAGTCACAGTATTGAAATTATTCAAGTGTTCAACCACCAAAAATTCTTTCGCCATCTTCACATTGAATAACCTCTTCATGTGAAAAACTTTAGGGCTTCTACATGCATTGCATCCAAAACTTTCATATTTACCTATCTCACACCTAAACTTTCATAATTAAAAGCATCATACGAAAAGTAGCACTCATTGTCACCTTTTAATAGTCAAATCCATATTTCATCAATAGGTAAAGTGATATGTGTGTGAAAATGAAAGTTTAGGTGTGAGATAGGTAAATGCATAAGTTTAGGTGTGATATTTACCTATCTCACACCAAAACTTTATTTGAATTAGAAGATTTTTCATAGATCTTTGTCGGTGCTGCTATGAGATTCGTCGTGGTTTTCTTATTCAATATGTTGAACTCAACAGACGATAAAAGTGAAAGATGGATCAAACCTAGGGTGATTCCTTGTAGTGGAAAATACAATTTCTTTTGATAAAGCAAATCTCCCAGATGAATTTTCCAAATCACATAACTTGATCCAATAAACTTCTCCACCTTATATCTTGTTTCATTGGTCATATCTCCCACTCAAATTAAAAGTGTTTAATAAAGAAACGCCACTCTGATACCACTTGTTGGGATGAAAACTAGGGTTTTGATTGATTTACAATCAAAACCACACCGCGAAAAATATGATCATACTGGTTCGAGAAATATGGAATAAAAAAACCCGAGAACAAAAAAAAAATGCAGAGACACACCACACCAAAATTTCTCTATGAAAGAAAAAATGCACGGAGATTTTCACTACTCGAATCTCCTCTCTATAACACTCTAACTTACAAAAATTGCGCTCCAACTCTTATCATTATAACATAAGAGAAATCACGCGCCGAAAGTCCACCTCATTCAACACATCATTCTTGTACTACATCGTCGAGAGACTTTCGTAAAAAAGAGCATATGTCGTCATTCTGAATCGAGGGATTCAACTTTCGTAATAGAGAAACCGTCTCCGTGCAACCATGCTGACACCTATCATAAATATTTTGTGATCTGTCTCGAAGGAAGGGTTTGAAGGGCTGTGATGTAGATACACCGCTACTTGGCGTGCTTACGCCAACCTGGGATCAAGTGGATCACCATAACTATGCTGATTTGGCGAAGGTACGTCGCACATCTGATGTACTCCTTTAGTCTCCACATCTCAACACTCTCATAATTACATGCAAAACACTTAAACTTTTAACATCACATCAAAAATATTATCATAACCATCATTTTAAAAGTGGTACAAACCTTTCATCCATAGGTTCATGTCACCAAACTTTGGGTTTTAGATATGCAATTACATAAAAATTGGTTGGTATGTATGTGAACTTCCCTAAAATTTAAAATTATGGCTTATCCATCCCATGGAGCGGAAATCTGCATGCATGACCCATGGCTAATCATTATTAACGATTAACAAAGATTATACCAAAACTTATGATTTTGAAGTGAAGTGATTATCAGCTAATGAAAAGAGAACAACACCAAACATTTGCAGATAATGATCAGACAGAGCATTTATCAGAAATCAGGTTGGTCAAGGCTTAGTGTAGATTTCATTTAGGAGCACCACTCATAATCTTGTTTGATTTATTCATTCTTTTGGCTTCCATTCTTGGAAAAATAGCAAACAAAACAACATAGGAACTGTTTATATGAATTGTCTGAACAACTCTTCAATATTTTTTTCTCATAATTTGCTTTAAAAAGACAATATTTTAGAAAACATAATTAAATTTATGATTAATAATACAGCTTTTAAAAAAAATTGACACTAAACACAGAAAATATAAGAAACAAAATTAAAAAAAAGAGGCTGTATACAAATTATACAGGTTGCTATCTGTACTCTGCCGCATATGTGAAGGATGCTATTAATGCCGCAATAAATAATTGAGTTCTAGCTGGATTAATGCAGATCTTTCTTATCGTACATCCTTTAAGTCCATCGTTGCAGACTTCATAGCTGAGCTTGCACTGGATGCAAATTGCAATTAATGGCTGTTTTTTGTACGTCTGTGCTGGAATTGTGGGTGTTTAGATTCAGATACTGGTTAAATTTTATATATTCATTTATAACTTACAGGCATGATGGTGATGTTGATTTTCCTTTCATATCTCTGCCTGCAAAATCGTTATTGTTCTTTTTGTTATTTAGTTATAAAAACGTACAGAAAATTCTTCTACACTGAAAGAATTTAAAAGCATTATGAATAACGTAAGAAATGAATGACATTTTTTTTAGCATTGTAATGACAAAAAGAGAAAAACTGAATATTGCAATCACTTAAGTAGTCACCACAAAAACCGAATATTGATAATAAGACAGACGATTTATTTTCCTCAACAACAAAATGGGCGAGTGACCGAAGCACTGTTTCTAGACAACCTTTTTTTCCCACTCCAAAGATGTTGCCTTGACTGTACCATATTGGTTGGAAATAAGTTAGTAAAACAGATTTCCACCATCGTCGAAACAACAACATATATGATGTAAGATAAGGGTGTCAAAAATTGACCCGAGGTGCCAACTCGACCCGAAGTCTACTTGAAGATCTGGGTTTGGGTTGACCCGAAAATTGTTGGATTGGGAGTCCTGATTAGTTTGATTTATCGAGTTGGATTCGAGTCGTGACTTGTCAACCCAAAATCAACCCTCCAATTCGAAATTGATTTAAAATCAAACCGGCAACCCAAATTTGACTTGAATAACTGCTATGCCTTATTTTAGATGGGTTATACAGGTGGAGAGTTCAAGCCAACGAGTTGAAGGCGAGTTGGGTTCAAGTCAAGCAGTTTCAGATCAGGTCAATTTCAAGCCAGCCTCGAATCCGACCAACGAATCCAATTTGACACCCATAGTGTAAGACAGCTAATGATTGCGCTGCTTATCCATTAATTTTAGAGATGCAATCACCAGAAATCATTGCACGAGCATGTTCCACTAACAAACCGATGAAATCGAACTCGGTCCCTTACAATGATCTCTCTACCATATTCCTTGCTTATTATTTTTATCACTTCATGGCAGTCAGCGCAAAATCTTAGATTCTTAACAACCCGAATCACTGTAGGTGTTCTAGTCTTTATTAGCCCAAAAGCAACAGCCAACCTTTCACTGTGCTCACAGAGAGCATTCTCCTTTTCCTCTTCATCAACATCATGCAAAACAGATGAAGTCCATGGTAGATGACCCGAAAGTCGCACACGTCGGGATATGCCTTTCAATGCTTCCCTAATCTGCTTCATCTCCGGATGCGAATCATCACTAACAATAAATTTATGCACAAAACCATCAATTTCAATGGAGCTGCAGCCTGGAATAACCCTGACGCCATTGTCCTTCATCTTCTTCCTCATCTTACTCACCTTGTCCCAATGGGATCTAAGTGCATATATATTTGATAAAAGAACATAATTTTCTGCATTTAGTGGCTCTAATCGAAGGAGATGCTCAGCTATAATTGCCTCCTTATCTTGAAATTCATTTTTCTTACATCCTGCCAGAAGTGTCCTCCAAATTACAGCATTTGGTGGAAAAGGCATCCTTCGAACAAATGAATATGCTTCTTCGAAAAGGCCAGCTCTGCAAAGTAGATCAACCATGCATCCATAATGTTCCATCAGTGGTTGAACGCCCGAGTCATGCATGGCAGACCAAAACCTTCGGCCATCTCTTACAATACCACTGTGGGCACAGGCTGATAGAACTCCGAGGAAAGTCACATGATTTGGTTCCACCTAACATGATAGATAAATATTTTCAATAAATTTCATTAAAAAGGAGAAAAAGAAGTTAACAGATCTCTATAATCATTGTCTGTGCAACAAAAAAATAATTTCTATCACTATGTTTAAAATTGAAATGAAGATAGCTATCATTGTCTGTGCATCCACCCAGCCCTCATCTCTATCAATAGGAATACAAAAATCTCCATTAAGCTCATCGTTTCCAACTACTTATCCAGGTGGGTGAAATTTCATGCCATTGTCATACGATATGTTTCATGGGTTTTATAGAAGGATGCACTCCATATCTGTCACCAAAATAAACCCTATTGATGGCAACAACCCAAACCCAGATTCCTCTCTCTATATTCGATTAGAACAGCTGGCTCCATAGCAGGCTCCATTTCACCTCCTAAACGTGTTATGTTCATTACTTGATCTAGTACACCATGGGAAGCTTGGAATACCCTAGTTAATGCTAATTCCAAAACATATCAAGGATGTCTCGCAAATTTAAAAGTAGATCTATGCCATTTTGCAAAAGGTATATAAGTAATCAAGTACAAGCAACGTATTAAAATTATTGCAGGTGAATTAGCTATGATTAACTACACTGGAAAGAGGATCATCTTACTCTTAAAATCATAGGTCTTGATGCAGAATACAAATATATTTATTCAGTCATTAGGGAAGTACTATTACATTGGAAGAGCTACATGAAAAGCTTATCAATTTTGAAGCGCATATCAAATATGAAGCAAAGAAGAAAAATAAACCTCGCGCACATGATAGCTCACACAAATCCTAGACAAAAAATCTTTCACAACACCTTCCAAAACAAGTGCCAAATAACAACAATCAATCCCCTTCATGCCCAAAAAATATCTCAAACTTACCTTCCCCAAACCAAATAAAAAACAACTAATCTTGCACTTACCTTGGCAAATGCCAGCTCTATAACAAATAAAGGTACTCAGCACAATGATGTCCTAGCTTTACATATATGCCTTGGAGTCCACAAACTGCCAAAAATAGTACACCTTCTCTCCTTAAGCCCATGTAGCAGTGGCTTACATGCGTCAAACCAACCTCACTTGAACTTCTCAAAATTGCGAGGCTATCAAAATCCGGTAAATCCCACAATATAATGACTAATATTCAAAACTTCTCTCTCTATTAGAAAAATCCCACGTTGAGAACATCCACACTGGCAAACGACAACAACTTACCGATCACACATATTAAATCAACTACTGTTATGGTATGACTCATATACCATACAGGGACAGACGCTGGAACGAAGCGGAGCGGAGCGAAGCGAAAGAATCTGTCCAAATTGGGAAGTTACGTTATATGGGTTGGGGCTATACGGTACAGGGGTAATTTGAGAATTACATATTGTACTGCAGGGCTTACTCTAGGATTATAAATATCTGTTTGTAATCTTTTCTGAATATTGAAAAGAAGGTCGCCGCTCTGCTCCCAAGGATGTAGGCATCTTTGCCGAACCTCGTTAAATCTCTGTGTTCTTCTGGATTTGTGTCGATTATTGTTTTTCTTCGCCTTAATTTTCTCAACAAGTGGTATCAGAGAGAGGTTTGAGGGCAGGAAGAAATTTTCGACGGCAGGAATGGCAGAGTTCTGCTAGGCTTCGGTCGGAGAAGAAGATCGACAGCTTCTTGCGTCTCTACGGCGCAGCTTCTTAAGTTCGGCGAGGAGGCTTCCGTTTCGCAAAGGAAGTTTCGCGAACAAGCGAGATCTGCGAAAGGCGAAGTTCGAGCAGGTTCGGCGCAGAGCTTTCGCGCGAAGGGCTCAGAATTCGGTTCGGAATCGTCGAACGGCGTGATAGGAGTTCGCGAGCAGGCCGAAGGATCGCGAAGGAGGCCTTTGCGACAGGAAGAGGAGCTCTCGCTGAGGCGTTTGCGAGTTCGGTGTTGATCGCGAACAGAAAAGGAAGGAGCATGCGGAGAAGGGCTGAGAAGGAAGGGAATCACCAGAGGAATATTCCCTCATAATTCTTTCCAAAAATTTCATCCAAGAGCTGCGGAGAGGAAGGTTTTAATTAAGCTTCGCTGAAAGGAAATCTTCTTGACTGAGAAATTGGAAAAGAAATTTTTTTTTTTTTTTCAAAAGAAGAAAAAAAAAGGAAAGCTTTTTAATTAGCTTCGCTGAAAGGAAATCTTCTTGACTGAGAAATTGGAAAAGAAATTTTTTATTTTTATTTTTCAAAAGAAGAAAAAAAAAAGGAAAGCTTTTTAATTTAATTGCTTTAAATCAAATTAAGCAAATTTAATTAAGGATTTTCTCTGCTGGGTAAGGAGAGGAAATAAAGTGAATATTTATTTCTTTTCTTGGAGGCGGAGAGAAAATTTTTTTTTTCTTTGCCCGAAGATTTCAATTTTTTTTTCCTTTTTTTTTTTTTAAAAAAGGAGGTCTAAGCAAGGATTTTTGCAGAGGAATTTTTTGCAGAAAAGTTTTGTTGCAGGATCAAAATTGTTCACAAGGCGGACGGGCTCGCGGGAACGAACAGGTGTGAAGCAGTTCGGATAAAGGGCTACGACAGTTCGGCGAGTTATATTTCGGGGAGT